TAATGAATGTCCTGTTGATTTGCCATGACTTTGATTGATCAATCTCAGTTCCTAGGTCAATAAAACATTTGAATCTCATTCTGCTTTTCATGACTCAAAAAATTTGAATAAATTCTTATAGTAATTTAAACTATTTTATCTAATAAGTAATTCTGGAATGTGCAGGGGGGGTGGAGGAATGAATGACAATTTTGAGTGTATGTACCGGTCACAGTAGTTGTCATTTAATTCCCACAATAGCACTGCAAGTAGACCCCCGCTCCCCCATTTTACACATAAAGAAACAAAAGCTCAGGTGGTGAACTTATGGTCCCATAGCTAGTTACTAAAAGGATTTGGGTCCCCATCAGTTTGACTCCAGAACTCACTCCAGGTATAGATCAATTTTTTAACTTTTGAATGGAAGCATAAGATACCTGAAGAAAAGGACAAGTCACTCCTCCTCCACCTGACCACCTAAATAAGATGTTTCTCCGGGCTCAGTCCTGAGCACCCCTTTCTCATAGTACGTTCTCTCTTTAGATGACCCCATTCATTCCCACGGCATTAAGTATCGTCCACATGCTAAGGAGAACCAAATTTCTGTTTCCAGCCAGACCTCTTATTCAGAGAGGTTCACCAACCCTGCCCCTGACCATTATTCTCCACATGAGCACTCTTTTTATTTCCTTCATAGTATGCAGCATAATTTTAATTATTTCATTTATTTACTTGTTTTGGGGCCTATCTTCCTCAGCTGGCTGTAAATTCCACAAGGGCAAAAGCATTGCCTATCTCGTTCATCGCTGTATTGCCAGTGTATTGCATACATGGCACATACCAGGCATTCAATAAATGTTTTGAAGAAAGAAGAAAGAAAAGAACAAATCATAAGTATGGAGCTCAGTTAATTGTCAAAATGAAACCTGCATGTAACCACTAAGTTAAATGAGAAAGGCTGTTACCAGCACCCCAGAGAGCACTCTCATGTTTCCTCCCAGTTACTACCACTCACTCACCGATGTTCCAGTGATAACTGTTATCATGACTTCTGAGACCAAATTCATTTTCCTACAAGCGATAGCAGGTTGTGAATAGAATTCTGTTCTTAATTGTATGTCCTTTTAAATATTCTGTTACCACACCTAGATATTCAGTGTCAGTTTTTCTTTTTATTTTAAGATTTTATTGGGGGAGGGAACAGCATTGGGGAATCAGGGAAGGGGAACAGACAAGTTGCTGTCCTTTTGTTCTTCAGTCTAGTTGTGGAGGACGTCACTTCACTGGCCCATGTTGGTATTATCATTGCGCTCTTCCCGGGTGAAGCAGTCGCTCGCCAGCCATTGGAAGGCAGCTCACACCGGCTGCCGGCCAGCCCCACTGCAGCCTACGCCATCGCCTCACGGTAGCCCAGCTCCAGGTCGAGCTGTTTTTCACCATCTTAGCTGTAGAGGGCATAGTGTCACTGGCCCATGTGGGATCTGAACCGGCAGCCCTGGTGCTCAGAGCTTGCACTCCCAAGCCAACTCTTAACCAACAAGCCACTCGGCTGGCCCCCAGTTTTTCTTTAAAGAAGCCAATCACCTCCAATTCCCTCAAGACAGGAAAAAAAAGTATAAATTCGTACCATCACACGAACTTACTGCTTTGTGTTAAGTTCTTCCCCCTTTGAGGTAAATAATTGCAATTTCTTGGCTTTTAGTCTGATTACTGTGAAGAACTCTTCAAAACCATTTACCTCAAAATTAAAGTATAGAGCTAAGTCCTACCTAAGGAGTTTTGTGTAATTGTGAGTGCTACTTGCTGAGATTTTAAAATGTTATAATAGGATCAGTGTATGTACTGTTTAGCCAACGCTTTTAAAAGCAATATTTAGTTTAAATATTAGTAGACCAAAAAATTGCAGTATTTTCAAAAATATTTGTTAATAGTTTTTATCTGATATGTAAATCATGAACACAGTAATCAGTGAACAGCTATAAGCAAGTTTTCATCTTAGTGCCTTCTCTTATTTTCCCAGGAATACTGATTTGCACCTGACACTTGCATCCAGTTTTTTGACTTCAGGCATTTATTTAACCTGAATCCTCTAGAAGAGGAGAAAAAAGTTCCCTACTACATGTATGAAGAAGACAGTCTATTAGTATTTAAACAAGCTTCTCTTAAAATTTTTTTCTAATTATGAAAACAGGACACATTTGTTACAGAATACCTGAAAATGTGCAGAAAATTGCAAAGAAGAAAAATCTCCCATAATCCCCCTTCTTAGTGACGCCTGCTGATATTTTGGGATATTTAATTTGTCTTTTTACTCCACATATATGTAAATATTTATAATAAAATTGGAATTATAAAATACAGTTTTGTAGCCTGCTTTTTTCTGTTAATAATATATTCTTTGAATCTGCATATTTAGTATTACTTGTTTCTTTGAAAACATTAATAGTTGTATAGTAACTTCAAACTCATGTACCACTTAGTTTATTTAACCATTCCTGTGTTTTTAAACCAGTTTTTGATTGTTTCCATGTTTATAAAGAATTAGCTATTAGGCAGCAGGTGGGAGAGGGATGCAGTTGAGGAGAGGAAAGGAATCCTCTTTTTCAAAACTGGATTTTCCTTGTTCAACTGAATTGATCAAATATTTAGTGAGCCTCTGTGTGTCAGGCCCTTGACAGGCCCTGAGATGCAGATGTAAATCCTTTCACATTGGCAATCAGATATGATGAGTGAGGTCCCAAATTAAAGTCATAATGGAGATGGGGATACAGAAGACAGGAAGGATGCCCAGAGATGTTTAGGTGGGAACATCAGGTTTTGAGTTGGGGTAGGTTTGGGGCCAGTGACTGAGTGGAAGACATCTAAAATGACTACCAAGTTTCATCTTCAGGTAACTGGGTTAGAGAGTGGTGTCATTTATTAATATAAGGACCACACACGGGAAGAGCAAATTTGCTTGAAGCTCTGTTTTGGGCATAGTGAATTTGAGGTTCGTGTGGGTCACTAGGGAGAAATGTCTTTTGGGCAGATGGATAGATGGAGGAAAGAAGAGAGATCTGGACTAGAGAGATGGGTCTGTGTACCATTGGCATCCAGATTGTGGTCTCAACCAAAGACCTGGTGGAGCTGCCATGGGAGAACATACAGTTGAGAAGTGAGCCAAGGATAGAACCCAGGGAATGTCAGAGGTCGGGCTGGGAGGGATGCAGAAGCATGTGACAGACAGAACCAGAATTGGGGAGAGAGTGGTACTGTGGTTGCTGGAAGAATAGAAGAAAAGAAGGGTAGACAGCAGTATTATATGCTGTGTTGTAGAGGTCCAAGAGAAGAACCACTGGCAAGTGTCTATTGCATTTGGCAATTAGAAGGTCATTGGGGAGGAGATTTAAGGGAGCGGTGGAGACAGAAGGAGGGAATGAAAGGGGAATAGTGGGTGAGGAAATGGGGTGGGGTAGCTAGAGATGGAAAGGCAGTGGTTGTCAGATGTGGTGTGGAAGGCGGGTTTTGTTTTAAGAGAGACTTGAACAGATTTATACGCTGATGAGAAGGACACAGTTGAAAGAGATTGAAGTTGCTGGAGAAGGGGTTGGTTGACGATAAAGCAAAGGACCCGAGGAGAGTGATGGGTTTGGAGCATAGGCGGAGGGATTAAACTTGGACCAGAGGGAGCTACTTTCTCTGAGAGAGCAGGGAGCAGGTGGGAGGAATTGCTGGTATGGTGGAAGTTGTTAGCAGTAGCTCAGTTTTCTCAAGACATTGGCTGAGAATGAGGCCGATTGGGCGGAAGATGGGCTTGAGGGTGGTGTCAAGATTTGAAGTATCTGGTGGGGACCAAGGGACCAAGGCCAGAGAATGACTATAGCAGCGCTGTGGTTCCATAGTTAGACCTTGATTTATAGGGGTAGTAATTTGCATGGTTGTGCGATTCCCCACCAAGACTCCAGAGCCCAGGTAAAGGAGGAGAGAAGTTTTTTGACTGTTTACTTTCCCAGGGAAGCCTTCCCTGATGTCTTAAATTAAATTTCTTTATTACAGGTTCTCATAGCTTTGTTCTTTCCTTCTCGTACTCCTTACTTAGAGTTGTAGTTTTGCATTTGATTGTTACAATTGCTATTATAATATTAAAGTTTACTTTTCCCAGTAGCTAAAAGCTTGAGGAGAAATATGGCTGATTTTGCTTACCCTTGTGCAGTGTCTGGCACCTAGTAGACACTTGGTAAATATTTGTTGAATTTAATTAATCAAATATAGTGGCCCTCAACCTTGTTAAGATGCCCCAGCACACCTGTGGAGTATGACTTGCATTCTTCTGAGTTGGTATGGACTGGCCTGACCCTCTCCTGGAGGAGGGCAGGTGTCAGGTAGTGTAGGGTAGTGGTTAATAGATGGTGGGCTCCTCCCAGCTCCACCTCTCACCAGCTTTGTGACCTTGGGCAAATTCTTAATCTCTTTGCCCCAGTGTCCTCACCTGTAAAAAGTGTGACTAGTAATAGGACCTGCCTCATGGGTTGTCATGAAGCTTACTTACCTGAGAGAAATCACAGAAAGCTTTTACGACAGCATGTGACTTGTAAAAGTTAGTTATTACGACTAGTGGTTTGAAAAAGCCTCCTGGGTGATTTTGATTATCTTTCCTTGAGACTCCTGGCTTTATGGTAAAAGATTTGCAGGGCAGGCACCTGTTAGCATCTTATGTGTGTCTGTTCATTGTCATATATTGAGCATTGATTTTCAGGGGAAACTAAGAAGAGAAATCCCTGGACCATGATGGTCATTTTGGCTCAGTGGCACCCTGAAACAAGACCATTCTTGGTCCTGTAGGAGTATCACTAAGAAATAGTAGAAACATCATGTGACTAGGCATTTTGATAGCCATCCTATCTGTGGGATGAGGGATTAACGAATGCTGTCTGCTTTGACACCTGCCATGGTAAACTTGATTCCTTGTTCTTCTTGCAGAGGAGGTGGCCAAGTTGGAGAAGCACTTGATGCTTCTCCGACAAGAGTATGTCAAGCTGCAGAAGAAACTGGCAGAGACAGAGAAGAGATGCACTCTTTTGGCTGCGCAAGCAAACAAGGGAGACAGCAGTGAGTCCTTCATCAGCCGTCTCCTGACGATCGTGGCCGACCTCTATGAGCAGGAACAGTACAGGTGAGCTCCTGGATACAGGGCCAGTGTAGGGAAGCCAGCCCTTTGCTGCTTTATTCCCAGGCCACATTGCAAATTTTCTTACAGACTTTCTTCCAAAGTTTCTTTCTCTCTAATTGGGATATTAGCAAACTTTTAGTTTCTAGAATGTAAGCTCTTCGGGGCAAGTTTTTGTCTCTTGTGTTTCCTGCTTGTCTTCAGCACAGGATGTGGACTCATGGTGATAGCATCTCTAGTGCAGACAGAATTAGCTTTCATGTCCAGGGATTCAGAGGGGAGAGGTCACTTTCTCTTGGGATGGTGAAAGGAGGAGTCTTGGAACTAATGGGCAGCATAGTGGGCAGCATAGCATGATGGTTGAGGGTGGACTCTGGAACCACCCAGCCTGTGTTAGAAGCTCAGCTGGCCCTTTAGTGTCTATGTGAACTAGGCTATATGATACACCCCAGGTTTTTAATCTGTAAAATGGGGGTGTAATACCACTACTTACTTCAGGATTGTTGTGAGGATTAAGTTAGTAAATACACTTAGAACGGTGTCTGGCACATAGTAAGTGCTCAGTTGTTATCTGTTATTTGAGTTTTCAAGTGACTGTTAAAGACGGGGTAGGATTTAATAGAAAAGACAGTGATATTACTAGTAGAGGGAGTGACTGAACATGGGAACATGCAGAGAGAGGATTTAGAGGATAGTGAGGGGGGCCATTTTAGGATACATGTCCATGGAGGGGAACACTGGGAGAGGTAGGAAAGTTAGGTGGATTGTATTGGGATGCCCAGAGGAGGAATTTGGACTTGATCCTATAGGAATTGTGGAACAGAGTAGTTTTAAGTTGTGAAAATGTAATCAAAGTGGTATTTTAGGAAGATTAACCTGGGAACTTCATATAGGTGAAATTATAAAGAGAAGAGAGCCAGAGAGCAACTTGATGTTGTTGTAAATAGTCCAGACCAGAAATGATGAAGGACTGAATTGGGACAATGGCATTGAATATGGAAAAGAAACATGGATGTGAATATGCACAGAAGGAAGGATTTGGCTACTAGGGAGATGGATGATTGGACTAGATAAGACTTGGTAAAATTTTTAAATAAATTATGACATTTAAATAGGTCAAAATCCACAACTGCCATCTACCATCTTAGTAACTTCTAAAAGAAAGAAAAATTTAATACCAAAAAAATAGGAATTATTATACTCTGAGTAAAAGACAGCCCTTTAAATTGAGTGGATATAGCTACTTGTAAAATATAGTTCATTGTATTTTTATTTTCCTCTTTTTTCCTGTGGACAAGTGAAAACTATTTTATTTCTACTGGCCCAGACAGGAGAGCCTGGCATATTTGTTACAAACACATCTCTCCCGCTCTCCAAGGCTCTTCCCCGTTGGAACTCTCATGACTTTCTCAATTACTTATCAACCAGTTGGATCCGTTATACTGTAGTTCTTCTAGGAGACAATGGGAATGAGACCAGGCAGTTTCCCCTTGTGGCTTCTTTTTACCTGCTCAGCTGTGGTGTGATCTCATGGCCCACAGGGTCTCTCCTCAGCTCCTAAAATTTGTCCTTTATCTAAAGAAGGTTGAATACCTGTGTTACTACAACTGAAGATGAAGTGGGGAGGGAGCCTTCAGAGAGGACTGAGATTTTGAGATAGAGTAACTGAAGTTAGAAAATCAGTTTCTAAAGCTGATGCTTTTTACCAATATAGGGGGGGAAATGCTTTTCCCCAAAAACATGCATTTTATTGAAGAGTTTAAATAGTATTTTTAAGTACATCTTAGTACCTGGAATAACTGAAGAGTTGGTGTTAAAATTTTCAAGTTGAGAAATGTGGAAGAAATTGGTACATTTATTTTTAAGTTTAGGAGAAGGCTTTTGTTCCATAAGATAGTTAAAAATGATAGTTATATGTAGTTTTTTACTACATTCATTTTTTAAACAACCAAGCTTATAATTTTTCCTATTAAAGTGTTTGATTGAGAAACTCTAGCACGAAGCTCTTTGTTTTCTCTTCCTCTTCAGTAACAACATCCTAGTATCCATATTTTAAAAAGAAATGCTCTAGAATGAAATTTTTTTCTTTTTCTAAGATTTTATTGGGGAATTGCGGAAGGGGAACTGTTTTGGGGAATTGGGGAAGGGGAACAGCCAAGTTGTTGTCCTTCAATCTTAGTTGTGGAGAGCACAGCTAGCTCAACTCTAAGTCCATTTGCCATCTGGCCGCCCGTCAGCAGCTCACAGCCACTCAGCTCAAGGTGCCGGGTTCAGTCGTAGTTGCGGGTGGGCATAGCCCACCATCCCATGTGGGAGTTGAACCGGCAACCTTGTTTGGAACACATGCTCTCACTAGGTGAGCCACCCTGCCACCTGTTGGCAGCTCAGCTCGGGCGCAGCTCACTGGCCCATGTGGGAATCAAACCGGCGACCCTGTTGCTCAGAGCTTGCTCTCTTAACCAACTAAGCCACTTGGCTGGCCCTAGAATGAAACTTTTTAAAAAATTACTAGCTTTCTAATAGTGTCTACATATTGTTGATATAGACTTTGTCTAATTTTCCATTTTCAAACTGTATTTTTAAAAACTATTATTATTAGAAATTCTTAGTGAAATCCTTATCTTTGTTTCCCTTTGGTATGTTAAACTACAAAAGAGAAAAAATTTTGACGTGACATTCATGAATAGTAGTAGGAATTTTATAGAAACATTTATTTTTATAGTTTTGTGACTAAAAGACTTGTGGCTGAAACAGTAAACAGTGAATATTCATGTAAGTTATTAGAATTTAATACTTGATAAATAAATTTAGAGTTTAAAAATTGTTTGTGCTTTGTTAAATAACCAGTTTTCTGTTGTCATTAAATTTTTAAAACTTTATCATAGGATATGATTTGAGACAGAATTTTATGTTCTATTTTAAATGGAATATTAATTCTATTCTTTATTGATTAATAATGTTTTATTGTGTTAACAGTAGTTCATAATAATTTGAAATCATAAGTACCCTATTACTCTCTGATCTAACATAATTAGTTGCAGCTTCGTCTTTAGTAGAGCTAGAATTGTCGATATGCTTACATAATTATAAAGTATGCTCTAGACAGTGCTTTTGTGGAATAAAATGTATCTGCATCAAGCACCCTAGAGAAACAATATTCTGTTTGGGTCTCCTTTTAAGTGAATGAGTTCATTCATATCATTCATATAATAATTTTTTTCCTTTTTTTTTTAATGTAATAGTTTTTGTCTCTATTTATCTTCTAAATAGGCAAAAAATAACCTAACAGTTATTTTAAAGGGGTGTATGAAAATAAAAAATATATAAATACAAGCAGGATGATAATAATTAATGACTTTGGGTTGCAGCCAGCCTTGCCATATGGCACATGCCGTGTCAGCTCAGTAGGTCATCCTTAGGTTTTTGTTACCTGCCCAGATGCTTTCCTCCTTTAGCGTTTGACATTTCAGAGTTAAACATAAATAACTACTTGGAAAGCTCTTTTCATATAATGGTGTGTCATAAATATGGAAACTGTTCGAAAAAATTTCTCCCTCCCCATTTCTTTGTAAATGGTTGAGTAAAAGATGGCCAATAGTAAGTCTGAATGTTTCTGATGAGAATAGGAGTCTAGATATTGGGTTTCATACACTTGACTGCTTTGTCAAAGCTAATTTGTTCATAGTTTTTCTGTTTAACCTTGCTTGAACGTTTATATGGTATGGAACATAGCAACATTGTAATCTCAGAGCTGTCATCACAACCTTTAAGCTTTCTATCTTTCTCCCCCTGATGATTTATCTTGATTTATTCTGCATAAAACCTTTTCTTTCTACTTTTTATATGAATATTAATCATCCTATTTAACTTGTAGGTTCACCACCATAAGAATCCCATTAGGGATGTCTTTGAAAGCAGAACATCCCACGTAAACTAAAGCTGGAAGAAATAATATGTCTAGCAACATATTATTGGGTTGTCGGAAAAGTCATGACGCATTTTTGCAATGAAAAACAGAAAAAAAAAAATCATGACTTTTCCGACATCTCAGTATAAACATGACCCATCAGAATTCAGTGCTGGCACAGAGAAATACTTTGCTGTGATTTTTTTTTTAATTTCTTATGCAAATGCGTGTTCATCAATCAATACCTATATATTTATCAGCTGTGAATTTAGATATACCTAATTATGATGACATTTTTCTTTTTTGTATTTGTGGATATGTTTCTTCATCAGTGATCTGAAGATAAAGGTTGGAGACAGGCATATCAATGCTCACAAGTTCGTCCTGGCGGCCCGCAGTGACAGCTGGAGTCTGGCCAATTTGTCTTCCACCAAGGAGCTGGACCTGTCAGGTGAGCCTCTGACCGGTTGGGGACTCAAAACTGCCAGCATGAGAAGTCTTGGCAGAAGGTTATGGTATCTCATTTTGAAATATTTGTGGTTTACTGAAAGTAGAGTACGTACTTTCCTTATCAATCGATGGTAACCATGAACTCGTTAAATCATTAGTGAATCAGTAGTTTATACTTTGTGAATACCTCTGCTTACTACCTGGCTAATAAATAGTACATATTTGAATATCTACAGTGTTCTTATAATTTATGAAATATAAATATTTGTCCAGAAACTCTTTTCATATAATAATATGTTATAAATATGGGAGCATGTGTAGACAAAAGTTTTTTCTTTCACTCCAAGAAAAAGCCCTGCTGTTCAGTTGTTTAAAATTTAATCATAGCTGCCAAATTACTTTTCTTGGTCTATAGGAACTGAATTCAGAAGTAACAGTTATTTCAAAGAATAAGAATATTCTTTCTTTAAAATCAAAGGATGAACTTTAGTCTGCGGAATTTGAGAAGGTGCATTGAGCTTTTAAAGTTACTATTTAATTGTTTTATGTTGCCTTACGTTGTGTAGAATTTGGGTAAATATGGTGGTAAGTAGACTTCAAAAATGCATTTGCAGATAGTACTTGTCTAACTGCTGTTAAATTTTAAACTTAACTCTGCTATTAATAGTCATAATTATAACATACGATAAGGAGAATACCCAGACATTAAGATATGAGTTACTAGCAGAAGTGATCGGCTATGTAAAAATTCTGCTGAATTGTCTTTGTTCAAAAGGTTTGCTGATTCAGAAGATACTGTTTTCCTCATACAGTGCTAGGAACACCGAGATGATTAGAACACAGCCCTTACCATACAGAGCTCGTATTCTGTTGCAGGAAGTGGGCTAATAATAAATTATTTCAGGTCAGGGATACGTGTGCACTAATATAATTGCTTTATGTCTAGGTACAGAAGACACTAACTTGGACTGCTAAAGAAGGTGTCAGAGGCAACTGACACTTGAGCAGTGTTTCCAAGGTTAAGCAGGCATTTATTTCAAGGATTTAGGGGAGCAGATGGTTAATGCTTCCTCACTGTGAGTGAACTCACGATATGATAATTTCTAGGGTTTAGCCTGAGGTCCATAATTCAGAGTGGTAAACACAGAAATATACACATGCATATACGTGTGCATATGTATTCGTGTCTATATCTAAAGCATCTGCTTGGGAAACAATCTTGAATGGCACCAGTCTACATGATTAAAGTCTCTGAGCAGAGCTTTTCATTTTTTAAAAAGTATAGTCTTTTGAAGCCATGTATCTTTGACCCCATATATAACAGAACTATGAAAATGTTAAAATCCATTAGATCATGAGGTGTTCTTCCCAAAATGCATAATAGGATCTTGATTACATGAACAGTTTGCAAAGATTGAAGAGATAATAAAATAAGAAGATACTCAGCTTTGTTAGAAAGAAGTATAGAATAAGTTGCCGTCCTTTGATATCCACATTAGTAGAAATTGCTGATCCCAGTAGTTGTGAGTCTCATGAACTGGGGGCTCTTGCACATTACAGTCACATTATAAACTAGTATGACATTTTTAGAAAGCCATTAGGCAACAGAGCTATAAAATAGTCCTTTTTTTTTTTTAACCTCATCAGCAGACCTCTGTCTGATGGATTCTATCATAGGTAAATCAGACAGCATAGTTTTATGTGTAATTGTGAAATACTGAATGCAACCAAAATGAATAAGAGTGAGAAAAACGAAATATTGACTGTTCCCCAGAACACATAAAATTATATAAGAACATAAAAATTTGCATTAAGTATAAAAGGTCTAATTCAAACATTAAAATTAAAATTTTGTTATTACTTTTTTAGTACGTAACATTTAAGAGCAACTTGAACTCAGTGACTGAGCACAAGATTGCATCACTGTGAATCAGGAGATTTTCTAGAGTTTAGGAAAGTATAATGTTCATACCTTTAAATGTGCCTGAACCCTCCTCTTGTTGTAAATAATCAGCATGGTTTGATCCCTGCTATAAGGTTTGCTTTCAGGAGTGACCCCCTGCAGAGCAAAGTTTTTTGTGTCTTTGAAAGATCAGGCACCTACCACGATAGCTGATAGCAGAGCTAAGGCATCTTTACTTCTCTTTATAAAATTTATATAGAAAGTGTATCCTGGAGAGGGTTCCAAGTAGGTGGTGGCATATGTGGACCTGTTCGTGTTTAATAGCATGTTTTGCCCAGAAGTCCAGGCAGTTCAGCAGGTGTGATTGCGGAAATCTGGGCTTGCAGCAGCTGAGACTACCAGAGAAGCCTGTGTGTTACGCAATATCTGGAAGCACTAGCACTGTATGGCTGGGTAGCAGTTTGAAGGAGATTGGAAATAGGCTCTTGTAAACAAGTGTATAAATAACATAAAAGCTATGTTTTAAATGGTTGAACTTATTCCACACTAATGGACTTGATATAATCATTTTATGAATTTATTAGTATTTAGTTTCTCAAAATTATTTCATTCATATCACAAATGTTGAGTGGCGGGGACTTTTCAAGATGCTAGGATACAGCAGTGAACAAAATTAAATTCCTGTTTGCATGGAATTTATATAGAGAGATTGACTTTTTAAGCTGTGCATCATCTTTTGGATTTCTCATGTAATTGGTATTTCTTAAAATTCAAAACAAGCACAACTTTAATTCTGTTAATTACTAAAGAATTTTAGCACACTTTGACGAAGATACACGGCACTATATACTAAGTATTTAAAACATACTTGGGTATATAAAAGTTTTCTTAAATCATACCTTGTTCAAAAAAATAAAATGATTTGTGCCTGATACCATGAATACCATGCACTGCCAAAGGCACAATCATTTCTGTGGGATTCTTGGCCATAAATGTATAACCTCATTCTGATTATGAGAAAGTATCAGACAACCCCAAATTGAGGAACATTCCTCAAAATAACTGGCCAGTGTTCCTCATACATTAAGGTTATGACAGATAAGACTTAGGAACTGTTACAGATTGGAGGAGACTAGCGAACCATGACAACTAAATGCAATGTGGAATCCTCAGTGGATTCTGGACCATAAGAAGGACATTATTGGGAAAACTGACAAAATTTCTAAAGGTCTGTAATTACTTAGTAGAATTGTATCAGTCCTGATTACCTGGTTTTGACAATTGTGCTACGGTTATGAGATGTTAATATTAGGGGAAGAAGGTAAAGGGTATATGGGAACGCTCTACAACTTTTCTCTAAGTCTGAAATGGAATTATCTCAAAATATAAAGAAAAAAGGCACACATTTGGTTTTTATTTCTTACCGATTATTTTAAGTGTGAAGATGTAAGTTTATAAAAATATTGATTGATAAACTGGGAAGAGAAAGAATATAACAAACTTACCTCAACACAGCATAACAAATCTTAAGGCCAGGAGGAGAGCTCTATATATGCTTCTTTGTGAAGTAACACACTTTGCTTCATGCAAAATGATTTGTTTATAGCCCTCTGTAGCACTTTAGCAATAGCATCTAACACAGTGAAAGGTTCCAGGGCATTCGAATGGCTGTTTTGAAGCTAGAGTTTCTTGTATGCTCTCTCCAGCAAAGATCTGGTTCCCTGGCATAAGAGTTTCTGGTGAGTCATTCAGCTTTCCTGGAATTTGTCTTGGGTTCATGCCCAAGAACAGAAAGCATCCTCCTTCCCTTCTTTTCAGTCTGGTTAGGAAAGCTGTGCTTAAAGCACCACCTGGGAGGGGAGGTTGCATTGTGCAGTGGCAATCACAGAGGTTCCCAACTCTGTGCTGAGGCACACTAAGGTGCTATAGCAAACTCACAGGGGATCTGCTTGGTATTTTAAGTTTTCAAGAGAAAAACAGCAATACTTGACATCTGTTGGATACCATGTGACCTATTAGCTCAGGGTTGTTTAGTTCCAATATTAGATTGTGCTACATTCTGTTTGGTAGGGTTTTTTTTTAAGATTTTTTTTTGGGGGGGGGGAACAGTGTGTTTTTCCAGGACCCCTCAGCTCCAAGTCCAGTCGCTGTTTTCAACCTAGTTGTGGGAGTTGCAGCCCACCATCCAATGCGGGAGTCAAACCAGCAACCTTGTTGTTAAAGAGCACACGCTCTAACCAACTGAGCCATCTGGCCACCCATCAGCAGCTCAGCGGCAGCTCATCTCAAGTAATCTTCAATCTAGTTGTGAAGGGTGCAACTCACTGGCCCATGTGGGAATTGAACCGGCAACCTTGTTGTTCAGAGCACACACTAACTGAGCCACCTTGCCACCCGCCGTGGTAGTTTTAAAATATGTTGTCTGATATTCCTCCTTTCAAGGGTGGATCCTAATTCCCCTCCCCTGAAGTGTAGCCTGACTAAGCTCTGAAGAATAGATTGAGGAAGAAGTGACATGTTACTTCAGAGACAGGAAGGCCGTGTGACTTCCTTGCTCTGTCTTGGATTGCTCACTTGGGGAGAAGTTAGCTGCTATGTCATGAGGACACTCAAACAGCCCTGTGGCCTCCTGCTCACATCTGAGACCCCCTCCCAGAGATGTTTTTGGAGCTTCAAAAATCTGTTTTATCTGTGGTCATATCCCCTTACTCAGTGCTAATGTTGCTTCTATGTTTGTCTCTAATCTTTGGTTATGCTAAGTTTGTGTGTTGGTTTAAAATTCAGGTGTCCTCCCCCCAATCCTCAAGTAGTGTTCCTGTGAAACCTTTTGTAAACTGAAATGGCACGTAAAGTGAAGAAGTAGTTACCATTAATTTATATGGAAATTTTTTTAGCATTCCCAGAAACAAAAAATAGCCTACCAAATTATATCAAATAACTCATAAAATGTAAAATAACACTAGCATATAGTAAAAACAGTGCCACTGCTTTTACTGCTCTCACAGCTAGGGTGCATGTGGCCTATATAAAGCATTGCTGCAAAACAAACTCTGAACCCTATTTTTGCTTTTCACCTTCCTTTTGTAAAAGTGAAAATC